GCCGTCGGAACCCAGTGAGTTCGATGGGATTGCGAGCTGTAACAGTGGAATATCAGCAGCAATGACAGTACATTTTCATCCTATGGGGTTGTCCTGTTTAATCGCTGTACATTCTAGTCCGTACCTGCGTTTCAATTTCTTCGCGTCTAGGATCCACCTCGACAAAGTTGACATTATCACCACTCTGAAAAAAAACACTCTTTTATGCACTGGTTTCGTCACTACTGTTAAACATGGATTGTAATGATCACATTTCGATAGAAGCTGCGCATATCCCCGCATCTTTTCCTATATTTCCCTCCAATAAATATTCTAAACATAGTTTAATGGGTTCAATGATTAAAAACATTGTTTTACTGGTTCTATATTGTAGAAAACAGATATAAAAAATGACCTATACGAAAGAGGCCGATTAAAAGTCTCCTCCGTGTGAAAATGCGGCTATATCCGCTGTGTGTGTTGGCGGGTGTGGTTCACTAGGACAAGAGCGCGAAACATTTTTCGCTGCGGGCATGTCAGGTCCACCTGATGGTTAATGGACCTGGAACTGCCGCAACGAGAAGAGTTTCGCGCTGCGAAACGCGGAAAAGTCGCCTTATGACTTAGTGAACCACAGCCTCTGTTGGCGCTGGGACAAATAGCAACTTTTTCGCTTACCGCAACAAGGAACTTTTCCGCTGTGGGAGTTTCAGGTCCACTAATGATCCAGGAGTGGACGTGAGGCTCCCGCAGTGAAAACGTTTCGCGAAACGAAAAGCGAGAAAGTCGCTCTCTGTCCTGGCCACTTAAATCTCCGCGCTGTTGTTAATCTGATGAGCCAATAACGATCCGATCATTTCTTGACAAAGAGGACAACTTACCCGTGCAGAAGGCACGACATTATCATCCCTAAACAGACGATGAAAAGTAGCCAATCGTAAGCGCTCAACGGGATGTGCGGCTGAAAATGAGCTTGATCAGTCGACGGAACATGAGCGTCACTGAACCAACTTACATCGATAGCACGCTGGTATGTCTCGAAACGAGTAGCAATTTTTCCCAAGACCTGGCCTGGCATGGTGAACAGATTCAACGTGACAGTATCACATATTGCGGCTACTGCATCGCTGATATAAGATGCCTGTAATAAACACCCACCTTGGTATTTCAATGACCCAAGAGATTGAATTCCTTACCGTTTCGCAAAAATGGTTTATACAAAGTAGGATATTTTGTGAAACAAGGGATTGGTTGTACAGTTCCTGCGCTTCTCCAACGCGTAGTCTGCCCCTCCATACCATCCCACACAGCATTATAAGAAGAGTTTTCTTTGCTTTCGTTCGACGAAGGTCATGATCTTCACGAAGTTCACCACAGAGGCGACACTTCTTCATATGTTCTGCAAAAAATCGATGTATTTCTCTAGACTGAATTTGTTGGCTCTCTTCGAGCGTTAGTATAAACACGGATTTTGTGAAGTACTTTGTGACAACATTACACAATACGCCAACTTGAACACGATGAAGCTTTTGAATACTTTATTATAACCAAGGATATCGTGCAATATAAATTCATATTGTAACAAAATTGGCAAAGTAAGAATATAAAAGCAGCGATTTGTTCCAGTCTTTGTATGTTTGAAGAGAAAAATGGAAATATCACGGCATCACAGAGCAGAGATAAAACTGTATTAAGATGTAAGAGAATTAGGAAACCCGCTCAACACTCGCGTTAATTTGCATGAGATTTCGTCGAATAGATATCATAAGGGATGAGAATGGTTAAATAAGAGATGAAAACAGCGGAGTTAACTGTTGATAGCTCACTCAACGCTTCCCTTGATGGCATTTTTCCACCATAACGAATTGTGGTTATTACAAAAAGACGAAAGACGCGGTGCAAAGGGGGACGTCGGTAAAGGAAACGAAAAGAAACCGCTAAAGCGCTGATGTTTGAGGCCTCTTTTTGCGAGGCGGGCAGTGACGAAGAGACACTGCGCGCCCAGATCGGGAACAGACGAGAGAGCATGACGGCTACTAAGACGCAGACTCCCTGCACGCATACTGTTGTCTGTGAACAATCGCAGCCAAAAGACAAGGCTATGACGTCCTTGTTGCGCACTTTAAATACGCGAGAACAGCTCTAACAGTCACGGAATTCATAGATCTAACAGGGATTCAGGCCATCACCAATCCGTTAGAAAAGGTTCTGGTACTCCACCTGAATGGACCAGTGCATCCGCAAATCATCAATCATGGCCCACCTAAACAGCTATAACAGTAGAATCTCGGTGGGTTGTAGCGGAAGTGGTGGGCGCTGTCTGAAGCGCCAAAGCCGAAAAATAAAACAGAAATCCGTCAAAAACACGCGAAATAGAACCTTATACTTAGTGGGCTGATTTCCGAGCAAGGAAAAGCAGCGGCCAAGAAAGAGGTCTTTTGTACGTGTTAACCCGATAGCCACCATCATACCAACGAACTGACCATGCTTCGATTGATAACGCATTACACATAAACTTAAAGGATACGGCCACTTGAAGTGAAACGCTCTTCCTAAATGAAAAGCGAATAATGCTGCCAATAGAACCAAACTAGTGGCGGAGCACAGGCGAAGGTGGAGCACAGAAAAGGTTTGGAATACTTGTGCGCTGCAACTAGCGCACCTTTGGGTCGCGGAAAGGCCACATCTCGTTTCCTTTGGCTCTGGCTACTGCTTCCAGTGGTGCATGTATGTACTCCCATGCTGCATAGGCACTAGATCATTCGTTCGCTTTAATCTTGAGGCACAGGTTTACTTGAACCTTTCAACCTATTGTCAAATAATTATCTCGCAATTGCCAAAGAGATCAGCCCGCAACAGTGATAAAAGGAAAGACAAGCCTGTACACTAAAAATGGAGTAGGCATAGTTGTGTTCAAGATAATAAGCGAATACAAAAATAAAAATGAGATCTGTATCAATTGTGCGAACAACAACAGAACCTGCCTATGAATTTTCCTTTGAGCACTCT